GTTAGCGTGGCATCCCGGCCAGGCCCGTGCAGGGGGCTCGCCCCGGCAGACAAAAGCCAAGGACTCTTCCAGAAGGGGCCACCTGCTTCCCAGGCCGGAGTGCCCCCGGACTAGGGATGTAATTCAGCATGGGGAGGAGAGCAGGAGCGAAAGGCAAAGCAAGAGTGAGTGCCAAGATGAGACGGGGTATCACAGGCCTGGGCCCTCTCTCTGGCCCACAGCTCAGGGATGCTGTGGGACAGAAGGGCCCAGGGGCGCCTGGGTGGCTTAGTCGGTTAAGCGTCCGACTTTCGCTTAGGTCATGATCTCGCGGTTCGTGGGTTCGAGCCCCGCGTCGGGCTCTGTGCTGACTGCCAGCTCAGAGCCTGGAGCCTGTTTCTGAGTCTGTATCTCCCTCTCTCTCTGACCCTCCCCTGCTCATGCTGTCTCTCTCTCTCGTAGAAATAAATAAAAATATTAAAAAAAAAAAAAAAAAAAAGAAGGGCCCAGGCTGCCAGCCCCATTGGTGGCCTCCAGAGGCAAACATGTGCCTGCGTACACGCGTGCATGCCCGCAGGTGCTGCATACACGTGCGCACCTGGCCACGTACACACACACGGGCAAACACACCAAAGCACGCATGTGCTTAGGTGTGCTCAGACCCGTGGCACATGTGTACACGTGCACACACAGGCTCTGTCTAGGCCAGGCCTGCCTCTGGAGCTGCGGGCACTAGACCTGAGGTGTGGGTGTGCATGTGTAGAGAACATTCCTGCGTCATGCCTGCCTGCGTGCCCCTCCCCTTCCTGTCCTGAGATTTTTTTTTTTGGAGGGGAGGTGCAGTTTGGCCCCAGGAAGGGTGACTGACTTGTCCTGGTTTGTTTGGGACCTTACAGTTTTAGCACTGAAAGTCCCGAGTCCCGGGCAAGGCTGCATTGGTCACCGGCCCCATGCGTTGGACAGACCTAGAGTGTATGTGCCCCTGGAGACTGCTCCTCACCATCTGTCCCCTCTGTGATGGCCCGGGGGCCCGAGAGAGAGAGCCAAGGCCCAGCCTGCTCTTACTGGAGGCCTCAGTACTAATGAGAACTACTACGTTTATTGAGCACCTACTGCGAGCCAGGCCCTTGGCCTAGGGTTGTCTTCTTCTAATTCTTCTTCTTTTTATTATTATTTTTCTTCTTTTTTAAAAATTTTTAATGTTTACTTATTTTTGAGAGAGAGGGATGGGCAGAGAGGCAGACGCAGAATCCAAAGGAGGTTCCAGGCTCTGAGCTATCAGCACAGAGTCCTACACGGGGCTTGAACTCACAGATGGTGAGATCATGACCTGAGTGAAGTCAGATGCCCAACTGACTGAGCCACCCACAAGCACCACAGGGTTTTCTTCTGAAAAGAAACACGTGGCAGGGCGCCCGGGTGGCTCAGTCAGTTGGGCGTCCGACTTTGGCTCAGGTCATGATCTCGCAGTCCATGGGTTCAAGCCCTGCATTGGGCTCTGTGCTGACAGCTCAGAGCCCGGAGCCTGCTCCGGATTCTGTGTGTGTCTCTTTCTCTTTGTTCCTCCCCCCACCCACACTCTGTCTCTCTAAATAAATACATAAATAAATAAACATACATAAAAGAAAGAAAGAAAGAAACACATGGCTGAGTTCCAGATGCTGTTTTAGGCCCTAGGGGCACAGCAGGGAACATACCAGACAAAATTACTGTCCTCGCAGAGTTGACAGTGGGAGGGGACAGAAAAGGAACAAAATAAATAAATAAATATGTACTTTATTAGAAGAAGGTAAATGTTAGGGAGGAAAATAAAACAGAAGGAGCCCATTTAAAATTGGGCTGCTGGGAGCGTGCCCGGGTGGCTCAGTCGATTGAGCATCCGACTTGAATTCATCTCTGGTGGTGATCCCAGGGTCGTGGGATCAAGCCCTGCATTGGGCTCCAGGCTGAGTATGGAGCCTGCTTGGCATTCTCTCTCTCTCTCTCTCTCTCTCTCTCCCCTCCTTCCCCCTCTCCCAGCTCATGGTCTCTCTCTCTCTCTCGCTAAAAAATGTTTTAATAAATAAATAAATAAATAAATAAATAAAATAGGCTGCTGGGGAAGGCCTGGCTGAGAGGGTAACCCTGGGAGAGACCTGAATGCTGGGGTGAGGGCAGGGGCCCCACAGGTTTCCTGGAGCATAGGCAGTGCTGCAGGAGAGGGAGCAGCCAAAGGCTGGAGGCAGGACACTCCCAGCACGTGAGCAAGAGGCTGGGGGAGGGAGGAGAGGCGAGGCCAGGGCCCCCCCCGTAAGGACCCGAAGGTCTTGCCGAGCAGGGGGCCTGGGGCCTCGGAGGGGAGGGTTTGAGCAGAGGGCGCCACACGCTCTGACTCAGACTTCCGTTGCTGGGTCAGCGGAGATATAGGGGCAAAGGTGGGAGCCCGGAGACCAGGCAAGAGATGATGGGGGCCCAGGCTGGGGTGGTGGCCGGGAGACGAGGGTGGATTCTGGGTATGTTCTGAAGCTGAGCCCACAGGACTCCCAGCAGATGGGGTACGAGGTGAGACAGAGGAGTTGGCGTGCCTCTGAGGTTCCCACCTGAGCAGCCAGAATGAAGGAGCCGCCTTCCCCTAAGACGGAGAAGATGCGCCTGGTCCATGGAGGCTGGGGGGGCAGGGGCACAGCGGCTCACCTTCGGACAGATTGCGTTGGACAGATTGCGTTGGACGGATGGAGATATGGGAAGGCAGGTGGATTACAGGCATCTGCAGTGGGGGCTGAGGAGGGAAGGCTGCTCTGCCCAGGCTGGCCTCCTAGTCTCTGGGGCTGGGCTGGGCTTGGGGGGAGGGGTGCGGGGAACACTACAGGAAGTAGCCTGCACTTGGGTGCAGCATGCAGGGACAGTGCCAAGTGGCCTGGGGCGCCAGTCGCTCTGTGAGCACAGCCAATGTGGCCCGAGGCTGCTATCTGACCAGCAGAGCCATTTGGTTAGCATCGATTGGCTTAGAGAGGAGCAGCTGGCACGGCCGGGACAGGAGGGAGGGGAAGCTCGGCCCGTGCAGAGGGAGGGTGGGCTGCAGAGTCAGAAAGATCGGGTGGATGGCTGACAAGTCTCTGAGGACCTGCCTTGGGGGGTGCTGTCCCTGCGCCGGTATAGAGAGAGGTGGCCCCTTTGGTGCCCGCAGGTGCCAGATTCAGGTCAGGGGGAGCTCTGATGAGGCCTGTTAAGGTAGATGAGGCTGCCCCGCCTGCCCCAGGCAACTTGGAGCACCTGGATTTGAGGTCAGGGGGGTGAGGCTGGTCCCACCACCCTCTTCACCAATTGTGTGGCCTTGGCCAGCCACTTCTCCGTGTGTGCCTCATTTCCTATGCAGTGGTGCGGGGTCGTAAAGATTCCATGTAAAGAACCTGGTGCATGTTTCGGACTGGGTCCTCATGGGTTAGCTCCCTTCCGGCTTGCAGGGTGGGTAAGCTGCAGGACCCTTCAGGATTCTGGACATGGACATGTGGCCTGGGACTGGAGCAGGGGTCCTCTCAGTGCTGGCCCCAGTCGAGACCTCTCTGGCCTCCCCAGGTCTGGGTTTCCCCAGCCTAGCAGAGCTGGTCTTACAGCTTCTTTGGGAGCTCTGGCTACTTCGGGGCTGAGAGAGGGGGACTGGGGTGAGAGGCGGGCACACTACCTGTTTCCCTACCTCAGTGCCTTTGTACGTGCCGTGCCTTTGCCTCTTATGCCCTTCCCATCCACCCTGCCAGGTCCAGCCCCCACAGGACCACGGATAAGCACATCTGGGGCTGCTGAGTAGACTTCGTGAGGTGCTGACCATGCTCAGGCCACTCATGCCTCCCCCATAGGTCGCTGCCCAGCGGGTGAAGGGTTTGGCCGTTTGCAGGAAGGAGGACATGTAAACAATATAATCTCTACTGTGTATCCTCTCTGCTGTCAGGGGAGCAGAGGATTAGTGGAGGAGGTGGTGTATAGGTGGCAGGGACCTTCCCTGAGCTTCTTACACACACACACACACACACACACACACACACACACACCCTTAGGCACCTGCTCTGGGCCCTGGCACCTGGTCAGACCGCCTATCTGCTAATGAACCCAGGAGGACTTGCCCGGCTCCTCCCTGCCCTATCACATTGGACATTCCAGGACTCAGGGCAAATATTGAATGGAGGAAGGCATGAATGAGGCAGCGGAGCTGCAGGTGAGCTCAGATGTGTGGGAGGCCAGGAGGTTTGGGAGTCCAGGGCATGCCCTTGGAGGAGAGGTGGAGGAGGGGAACCTGAGGAAGGGGGAGGGGTGAAGCCCAGCCTTGCTTATTCAGCCCCCTCAGGCAGAGGAACCCCTGCCGCACCCAGGAGGGGGCTGGGAAGCAGATGGGAGGGGGTGCAAAGCTCCTCCACAGAGACTTACATGGCTGCTAATTTGCAATCTTAAAATGCACGGCAAAGGCAACGGCCTCATTGTTAGTACATTAATCAGGCAATCAGTGGGTCGGGGCTCCCACCAGCACACGGAGGGCGCACAGAAGAAGCTGCAGCTCCTGCCTGGAAAGAAACCCAGCAGGGTGACTATCCAGACCCTGGGCACCCGCCGGCCCAGGCAGGGGTGCCAGAGGTGGGCCAGCTTGTCTGGGAGGGGTAGTCCAGGGCCTTGGAGACGGGATCAGTTTCTGGGGTGGAGAAGCAGACTCAGCTGAGACTCACCCCAGCTCCCAGTGGAAGGGGGAAGGGATAGTGCAAGGGCAGCTTCCCTGGCCTGGGTCCCTGGCATCTGGGCAGTACTGAAGGATGGAGGGCAGATCCAAGTGTTGGATGGGTCCCTGCCTCCTTTTAGGCCCCTCTGGGAGGAAGGAATGGGTGACTCTTGCCCTGGGTCCTGCATCTACCCAACTCACCTGCCAAAGTGTGTTCACGTGCTGGCTGCTCAGCCCAGACCCAGATTTTCGGGCATTTGGCGTCCAAGTGGAGGTCTCCGCCTAGTTTCCCTGTACCCCAACATTCCCTGGGGCACCTAAGGAAAGGGTGCGGCTCTCCATGGGGTCCCCCAGCTCCTCGGGGGACATTTATGAGAACCCCAACCCAGGGGCCTTACGGAGACACAGCCACAACAGCAGGCAGAAGTCGTCTACCCCATCAGGTTAGGGGGCAGGAGAAACCCCCCCTACCACCCACCGCACAGTAATTCTGCGGATCAGAGGAGCGCTAGCAGAAGCACTTTGTAAACTTCATAAGCTGCACAAATGTCGAGTGGTATTAGTGCTGAGGCTGCCACAGCTTACCCCTGGCCCCACAGTGAGTGTCTCTCGGCTGCCAGACTTCAGGAAAAGCCTCTTTCTTTGCAGCCCCCTGCCCCCCAGGGTCTGGTGTGCCACTGTGGGTCCCACAAGCACAGGTGTGTGGCCGTGGCCTGGCCCCTTCAGCACAGTGACCACTGTGACCGCCCCACAGTGCAGGGGCCCATGGAGACAGCAGCCTGGGCAGGGCTAAGGAGTGCGAGCTGAGAGTAGGGTGAGGGAGTGTCAGTCTCTGTGGAAGGTGAAGCCAGTGTGGGTTGGGGCCTCCACCCAGCCCTGGCTTTTGGTGGCTCGAGGCATCGGGCAGGCTCCCTGAGAGTCAGCTGAGGCTTGGGGTCCAGACTCCTGTCCCCTCACTCTTGCTTCTCCCTGCGGGGCTGGGACCTCCTGCCAGACCGAGGTGGGCAGTGGGGGCGTGGAGGTCAGACCTGGGCCTCCACGTGGGGCATGCTAGCGTAGCGATTATCTCCTACCCACGTTACAGAGAGGGAAACTGAGGCTGTGGAGGCACCAGCCTCGGGCTTAGCCTGCAGCCTGTGTAATGGCCGCGGTGACTGAAGACCCTGCAGGAGCCACAGAGAGTGCAGCCAGCCCAGAAAGGGTCCTCACAGCTGCACTGCCACCACCACCACTGCCACCAAGGTCATAATTGCTCTGAAATCGCAACCGAACCCAATTATGCAAAAACGAAATTGCATGCGATGATTTTTATGTTGGAAACGTTCGGTGGAAGCCGGGTGATTACGGGGGGACGGCAAGCAGCTGCCACTCTCTGGGAGCCCATAACTCCCAACAGCTGGGAACTGTCACTTATTTATGATGCCTTCTCTGCCAGGAATGGGGGGGTGGTGGCTAGGCCTGCCTGAGCCTGGCTGGCCGGCGAGGGCGACAGCAGGGCCTGGGAGCCTGGCCTGGTGGCCCCTGTGAGGCAGGGGTGGGGTGGGCGGGTCTGAGAATGGCCAGGAGCGTGGGTTCTTTCTACATGCTCTGGGCATGGCTGACAGCAGGGGGACTCAGCTGAGCTGCCCACCGCCCTGACCTCTCCCCAGAGGCCCGGCTGGCCAAGCTGGAAGGGACGGGCGAGAGGCCAACCAGGCAGGGACGAGATGGCTGCCTGGCCCTGCAGGGTGGGGGGTCTACCGGCCTGGAGCCCGTCTTCCCCGCGCCGGCGCGCCTGCCGGGCAGCCTGGGGCAGCTGCGACCCTGGAAAAAGGCAGGTAATGATGATCGTCCATAATGAGGCTGCTCCGATAATGAGCACGAGGCTATTATCCGACCACAGGCTGGACACATCCGAAAATAAATTATTTTAAGGATCCATTAACGAATGCCTAATTAATGCCCAATTAGAGGGAAGCTACAGAGGAAATGCTCGGGACAGTGGAGAGGCAAGGCCTGGTTTTGCAGCCACAGCCTGGGAGTTGGGTGGGGACAGGGGAGAGGCCAGGAGAAGGACGCGATGGGGGCAGCCTCATTCTGGCAGCTCGCTTCTGGGGGGGCCCAGGCCCAGCCACCCTGCTGCCTCTCCCAGTCCACACACATGCTCCTCTTAGTAGCTCCTCACAGCTCGGCGGCGACAACTGGTATTCTTTAGAAAGGAGGACATAAAAAAATACAGAGAGCGAAAGGTGCGCCTGGGTGGCTCAGTCGGTTGGGTGTCCGACTTCAGCTCAGGTCATGATCTCACGGTTGTGGGTTCGAGCCCCACGTTGGGCTCTGTGGCGACAGCTCAGAGCCTGGATCCTGCTTCGGATTCCGTGTCTCCCTCTCTCTAACCCCTCCCAAGCTCGCTCTCTGTCTCTGTCTCTCAAATAAAATAAAAAGACATAAAAAAAAGTTTAGAAAGGAGGAAACTGAGGCCCAGAGAGTTGTCATACACTTGACGAGGGAGGCAGGGGACATGAGACCTCTTTTGAGATGAACTTTGGTATCTCGCATGCATACTTTTCCTTGTTATTGAGAATAGACTCCTCAGGCCAGGAGTCAGCACCACTAGCTGTTCATGTGGATAACAGCGAGTGCGAGACAGAGCTGGACCGGGAACCAGAGGCTGGTTTCTGTGTTCTTGGGTTGTAACGCCCCCCTCCCCACACCCCCGTGGGGCTGCCAGAGCCTGAGGGGCGGGGCTAGGGCTGAGGGGAGGGACTAAGGGGACGGCGGGCCACCCGCAGCTCTCCTCTCCTAGCAGCCCAGGCTGGGGATCCCCAGGACAGGCGCAGCGCCAGAGTGTGATGTCACGCCATGTGGGGTCCTGGCTTGGGTCTGAGCCCCGCCTTCCTCCCACCTGGAGCCTCCCCCAAGAGGCCGCCGTCCCAGACCGCACAGCCCGGGACAGAACCCTGCCGAGGAGGGGGGCGCATCCACGAACCCCGCGTCCCCTCTGTCCCCCGCGTCCCCTGGCCCACCCTGACCTGGCTGTGCTCTGTCTCCCCGCCAGGGTGCTGTGTGGAACTGTTGCTGCTGCTGCTGGCCGGGGAGCTGCCCCTGGGCGGCGGCTGCCCGCGGGACTGCGTGTGCTACCCGGCACCCATGACGGTCAGCTGCCAGGCGCACAACTTCGCCGCCATCCCCGAGGGCATCCCGGAGGACAGCGAACGCATCTTCCTGCAGAACAACCGCATCACGCTCCTCCAGCAGGGCCACTTCAGCCCCGCCATGGTCACCCTGTGGATCTACTCCAACAACATCACCTACATTGACCCCAACACCTTTGAGGGCTTCGTGCACCTGGAGGAGCTGGACCTTGGCGACAACCGGCAGCTGCGGACGCTGGCCCCGGAGACCTTCCAGGGCCTGGTGAAGCTCCACGCCCTCTACCTCTACAAGTGTGGGCTCAGTGCCCTGCCCGCAGGCATATTCAGTGGCCTGCACAGCCTGCAGTACCTCTACCTGCAGGACAATCACATCGAGTACCTCCAGGACGACATCTTTGTGGACCTGGTCAACCTCAGCCACCTGTTTCTCCATGGCAACAAGCTGTGGAGCCTGGGCCAGGACACCTTCCGGGGGCTGGTGAACCTGGACCGCCTCCTGCTGCACGAGAACCAGCTGCAGTGGGTCCACCACAAGGCTTTCCACGACCTCCGCAGGCTGACCACCCTCTTTCTCTTCAACAACAGTCTCTCTGAGCTGCAGGGCGACTGCCTGGCGCCCCTGGCAGCCCTGGAGTTCCTGCGCCTCAACGGGAACGCTTGGGACTGTGGCTGCCGGGCGCACTCCCTGTGGGAATGGCTGCGGAGGTTCCGCGGCTCCAGCTCCGCCGTCCCCTGCGCGGCCCCCGAGTCACGGCAAGGCCAGGACCTGAAGCTGCTGAGGGCCGAGGACTTCCGGAACTGCACGGGGCCGGCGTCCCCGCACCAGATCAAGTCGCACACGCTCACCACCACCGACAGGGCCGCCCGCAAGGAACACTACCCGCCCCACGGCCCCGCCAGGGACAAGGGCCACCCGCATGGCCATCTGCCAGGCGCCCGGCCGGGCTCCAGGAAGCCGGGCAAGAACTGCACCAGCCACAGGAATCGCAACCAGGTGTCCAAGGCGGGCGCCGGGAAGCAGGCCCACGAGCTGCCGGACTACGCCCCTGACTACCAGCACAAGTTCAGCTTCGACATCATGCCCACCGCGCGGCCCAAGAGGAAGGGCAAGTGTGCCCGCAGGACCCCCATCCGCGCCCCCAGCGGGGTGCAGCAGGCCTCCGCGGGCAGTTCCCTGGGAGCCTCGCTCCTGGCCTGGATACTGGGGCTGGTGGTCACTCTCCGCTGAGGACCTGGGCCGCCGGCACCCAGCACTGCCAATGTCCACCAAGGAACAGAATTTCTTTTCTTTTTTTTAACAAGTGGAGGATCTGCTGGGTTTCAGGCAAAGGCTGCTAAAGTCTTTGGCTGCTGTCTGGGCCCTGCCGGTGGATTATAAACCCAAAGTGTACAGCCCCAAGTGGGAAGGGATTAGCGCATCACACCCTGCTGTCCCAGCCAGGCCCAGCCGAGCGCCCACGGACAGCATCCATCCAGCAAGGCGGTTAAAGGCACGCAAAACGAATCCTTCATGAGTAACCATGGGACAGTGCCCCACAGGAGCTGGGCTCTGTGGAATCCTGGTCATTGGAGAGGTCTGCAGGGCCCCCCGCCACTCCTAGAGAAAGCAGGACTCAGAGGAGAGCAGACGAGGCTCACCCAAGGGGCTGGGTCGACCAGCTGTCTGGGAGCACAGGAGCAGGAGGCATTTAGGTTCTTGCCTGAGGCCACATAGTCAGCCTGCCCTAAATCCAACCCTCAGTCCCTCCCTCGGGGGGAAGGCCTCTTTCCTGATGTCTCAGGCTACCCTGGCAGACCCAGGCCCAGCTGCTGGGCTCCAAGAACCAATTACCAAAGGAAAGATCATCAGAGGCTGAAATTTAGAACTGCATCAAGTGCAGTGAGGCTCTCACAAGAGGTGCAGTTTTATAACTACGTCCACTTATATATATACACACTCTCTACATATATATACACACAAGCGCACAGGCCCCCCGCCCCACTCCCCTACCAGACTGTATGTCTTCTCATGTTTATAAACTATATGGAAAACTATTATCTGTTGAACTAAGGATCGTACTGGTGATTTCTAGCAAGAAAAGAGTTATAGGATTTTTGTCTAGAATCCCAACCTGGCAACGATAGTCACCGTGTACCCTGGGCTTGCCAGGGCCCAGGGCAAAGGATCAGTGGGAAGGGTCAGGGAGAAAGGGAGGCAGCAAGAATCACTTCAGGGGACCAATCTTCTTAGATGTTTAGAGCATCACTTTGTTTTTATATGCAACCCAAGCCCGGCTGCCGCCCCAGAACACCCCATAACCCCCACCATACTAGCTGTTGTCGTCAGGGTGAGAAGCGAGAAGCAGCTCATTGGACATCAGGGAGCCAGGCCCTGGGGCCGGGCTTGATGGAGAAGGGGAAGGAGGGACTTTGGGTCTCTTTTGCCGACGGGCAGGCAGCATCCACAGTGTTAGCCCAACAGGCTGGGCGGTGTCGTCAGCCTAGTGTGTTGCCAGCGACGGTCTGGACAGGCCAGGGAGACTCCGGGCATGAGCCCAGGCCTCCAGCCTGGCTCAGCTGCTGAAGTTTTCCTTGAGGCTCTTTGACGGCCATCCCAGTGAGAGTCCTGTGTAGGTGGCAAGAAGGAAAGCATCAGGTGGCCTTAGCAGAAGGGGGACAAATAGGGCATTTCAAGAACCATCTCAGGCACTTCTGTGTGACAGAGGCCCCGTCCCTCCTGGCCCTTCTGAAGTTGCCCGGGGACGGGCAGGGGTTGGGGGGCCAGACTCAGGGGTCAGGAGCGGGGACGTGCAGGGAGTGGAGCAGGCAAGCCCAAATAAGGGACAATGGCTCCGGTCAAGTCCGGCCATGCTGCCGGCCAGGGCCAGGAGGCGCAATCTCCTTTGAGCTTTGCACAAACCTGAATTCCCCACCAGAGCAGATGTGTGTGAGGAACAAGAAACACTGAATCCAATTAAGAGAGAAAAATAGTAATAATAAAAACACTTCTCTTGGACAAGAACCCTGTTTCTCATTTCCTAACCCTGCGTTCCCACAATGGTGGCAGATCCCAGGCTTCTGTGGGGTGGGCGAGGCGGGCCGGGCTCAGCATGTTTGTTGGTGGGAGGAGCCGTGTGGGGCAGGGGCACACTGACTCACTGGGGTGCACGCGTGCACAGGCCTGTGGGCGCACGCACGCGCGCACGCACACGCACACACTTGTTCTCTGTTCTGTGGTTCTTCCCTCGCCCTCACGGAACATGACTCACTTCCCACGCTCTGGCTGTGCTGGGCCAGCCCAACCCCTGTGTCCCTCCCTGGAGCAGGCTGGCCCCAGATCCTTCCTGGCCTGTGCCCAAGAGCCTCACCCGCAGCACCTGAGCTGGTGACTCTTTGGGGGCTCAGGAGTGGCTGGAAGGGGGATGCCAGTTCCCAAGGCCCCCGGGCCTTCCGGGAGGCTAGGGACCCACCCAAGGGGCTGGAGGCTGCCGCTGCCTCTCTTGCTTCAGAGAAAGGAGGCCGTTCTCCAGATAGAGAGGGGAGGGCTGTGTTTTCAGGACCGGCTGAACAAATCTTCCTCAGTCCAAAGCTCGAAACATGCACTAAAGGGAGTTCGGTGACGGCAGAACAAATCGTCCGCTCCCTGGTGGCCTGCCTGCTCTTACCCGGGCCAGTGCCAGGGCCCAGCTGTCCCTTGGAACCCACGGATGCTGTTATGTTGTTGACTTCATTTCCAACTTTAGACAGCGAGGCCCTCGGTGGGAAAATCAAGAGTCCGAGCACTTTATTAAATTTTTTTTAAAGACTTAGTCTTGTAATATGAAAGTGAAATGTCAGTACGAGAAATGCTAATGTTTTATAAATGATCTGCCTCTGTCAAGTGCGGCACGGCCTCTGGTTGCCGACTGTTATTAGAGGCAAGGCAGAGGGGCCCAGGACGCCAGGTATATTTTTAGCAGCTTTCTCCTCTAAGAGGTAGAGGGAATAAAGGCAGCTCTATTGTGGACGACATCACTTGTCACTCAGCAGCTCATGCGCTACGTGGTTACAATGACACCATTGCCCAGAGCACCAGAGCAAGTTGACAAGCCAAGGGCTAGACGCGGAGTCCCTCCTGGCCGGTTCAGGGAAGGGAGACGTGGGTTCTTGCCCCTGGGGATCCTGTCCTCCTGCGAGGGGCTGAGGCCACCCCACCTTCGTTCCTCATGGGGGCCAGCCCCTCCGCCCGTCTTCGCTCAGCCCTGCTCAGCACGTTCCCTGTGCCCTAGGGGAGAGCTATCTCCTCTCCCCCACCCCTCCTGCCACACAGCCCTCCTGCCACAGAGTGTGGCCTGGGGGGAGGGGCTGGGTGGCCACCGGTGGTCTCAGCGGCTCTCCACAGAAGTCTTCCCTTGACCCTGGAGCTCAGGTGGCTTCTTACCTTTCATTCAACAAGTGCTGATCAAGGGCCTACATTTGTCAGCCTTTGTCCCAGGCTCTGGGGACATAAAAGTGGGAAGATGTGACTCTCCTACGAGAAGCACAGGGTCTAGATGTGGAAACAGGTATGAGATTGGTGCTTCTGTTAGTGCCCCCCATCATGAGAAAGTCAGGTGGGATGAGGACAGTCCAGGAGGACTTCAAGGAGGAGGTGACACTCTCAGAGGACGAGGAGGTGGCCAAAGAAGAGTGTGGGGAGTTTTCCAGGCAGAGGGCTGGAGGGCCACAGCAGCCCCATTCTGGTTTGGGGTATCAGCAAAGAGCTGTGAGTCGAGGGCTGGAAACACCCAGGGGCCGGCGTGGGGGCCGGCAGGGAAAGTGAGCCTGGCAAGGGGAAGGCTGGTGGGAATCTTACTCAGGGACTTGGACTTACTCGGCAGGGGAGGTGTGGCCCCCTCTGCGGTGCTCTTCCCTACCCCCCACCCCCCAGCCTTCCTCCAGGCATGCGGTCCCCACTCGTGGCATGCTTGCCAATGTTCCTCAGCAGTGGGTTTCGTCATCCCAACTTGCCTCTTCTGCTCAGCCAGATCCTTCCCTTGTGCCAGCAAGCTGGAGTGCTCCCTGGCAATCTGCCTGGGCCAGAGTCCCATTCCCAGACACCTGCTGCTTCCAAGCTCAGAAAGTATCCCGTAGCCGCTTCGTCTCCCGTGTTCCCCCCACTCCCCTACCCACGTAGGGCTCAGCCCTCAGCCCCTCCCTTGCTTCTGGGCGCGGCCGCCCGACACCCCCACAGCCACGTCTACCTGGGCCCGCTTTGGCTGACCGTCAGCAATCCCTAGAACCTCCCCTCCCGAACTGCATCTCCCCTTTTCTCTCCTGGTCGGGGCCGTTCATTACCAGGGAGCCAAGAATCCCATTTAGCAAATGTTTACTTGTCACCTAACTAATCACCCAGCACTCTGCCACCATGGCAAATGCAGTTCCAGAGGCCTGCGGACAAGTTTGAGAGGGCCGGCTGGGGTGGCCAGGAAAGCTTCTCGGAGGATGAGATGCACACGGCCCGCGGTCGGAGGGGACACGTGTGCCGGGAGGGCTCCCTGGAGCAGCAGCAAACCTTCCGTCATATTTTCACCAGCCCCCAGGCTGTCTCCACTGGTCCCTTCTGGGACCCAGCTCCTCAGGGCCCTACTCCACACGGACCCGGAGGACACCAGCCTTTCGCTGTGCGAATTCTTTGATTAACCGAGGTGAGTGTACTTTTTGATGGCGTCCGGGTCAACATCTATTGTTGAACCTCCTGACCTGGCCATGCCCACGTTCTTGCTCATCTCCTCCCAGTCCGGCTCTCTGGGCTCACCTTCCTCTAAGAAGGACGTCAGACTGGACGCCAGCCGTTCCTCCACCCCACCCCATGGCACCAATCCCCCACTATCAGCTTGTAATGGGCCAATTTTCTTACACCTTCTCTGTCGACTTGAAAACTATCTCAAGAACTCTTTGTGCATTAAAATGTCCTTTACAGATCCATGCTCGGTATCTCTTCCTGCTCCCCTAATTGTCCCTTTTAACTCCCCGCGCTTTTGGAATAAATCTCACGGTCTCCCCTTTGCAGGCTGTGAATAAATACAGGCTCTAAGAAAATATTGTAAACATCTATTGTTGGCTAAAGAACTCCCCACACAATCAAAAAGGCAGGAGAAAAAAGGGAGGCTCGGCGCAAGGCGCGGCCACCTGTACCTTCTCCCGCAGACTGTCCTCACCTGTCTCGTCCAAGGGGGCCGCTGGCCTCAGGAAGGCTTATGCCTCTAAAATGTCTGTCCCCTGGGCGAAGGGATGGAGGATGCTCCAGGGGAAAGTGAAGTGAGTAGCCGTGTGCCGTGTTGACAGGGCTCCCTGCCAGAGCAGCGAGGGAGAGGTGAGCACAAAGGAGACCCCTGTGCAGGTAGCAGTGGCTAATTCAAATGGCATTGCAGTGGGCTGGTCCACAAGGCCCCTTACCTCCGAAAGAAGTGGGTCAGCCTCCTCCGAGAGCCGGCAGCAGCCTGCTCTTATGCCGCCTGCCCCCTCTCTCTCTCATTTCAGCTCTCATTGCTCATTAGAGCTGTTAGTTTCTGAGCACCGGCAGGGTGGGGAAGGCTGTGCCTTTTGTGTAGCGGATTACTGTGTGGCAGTGTGCACACTAATGGCATGCCCGAACGGCAGAATTTGACACTACTGCTGCAAAATGTGCTTGGGTCACAGCGCTTTCCAAATTGGCTGAGACTCGACGCCACCCCCCCTCTTTCACCCAGGCATCCCAGGGGGACCCTGCCAGCCACAGCTTCTGCTGCTCCCTCTCTGGGCCTCAGAAAAGAGAGAGGAAGTGAGAGATGTAGGAAACTCTTCAACCTCTGTTAGTACCGTTTCCCAGGAGGCAGACTGTAAGGAAGAAGGACACGCAGGTGCCCAGGGTCTAAACAGGTGGGCAGCCTCCGAGGCCCCCCACTCCACATCATGAGCCCTCCGCTGCCCAGGTTCGGGGACGGTCACAGGCCAGACAGTGATGCCCTCCGGATGGCAGCTGACTGGATGTTGAGATGTGAAGCCCCCAGGTGGCCACTCACCCTTCCAGCCAGAGATGACAAGGTTAGTCACCAAGTATGACTGTCGTAGTGAGGAAGGGCTAGCAGGACAAGTCCAGCGAGGGGCCCAGGGGGCCAGGGGCCGGGGCCGGGCGTGGACTGGATGCGTAAGGGAAGGCAGAGGCTGAGGAGACCCCAAAGGGCACACACAGACAGTGCCACTAGGAGACACGAAGAAGCACAAGGCTAGGGGGCGGTCATGTCACCAGTGGGTCAGAGGCAGGGAAAGATGCAGACAGACAGACAGACAGGAGGGTGCCATGGGGAAAGAGACCTTTTGCACATGCAGGCACGCACGCCTCGCTTGGCCACCATGTCCTGGCACTGTCCCTCATGTAGCCGAGCGTGGGACCTTCACCCTGTCCACAGATCTGATTCCCAACCACGTGCGAGGCCCAGGCAGGCCCTGGAATGCCAGGGAACACGAGTGCCCATCCGCGAGGGGCTTACCTCCCAGCTGAGAGCCCCTTTTATTTGATTACACAGGGGGGTGGCCGGGAGAGGGGTGGAGGGCCGACTCGCCCCACCCACTGGTGACCGTCAGGGATGAGGGGGCCGAGGCTGGTCTGAGCCCTGGGGCCTCCACGTTTCCCAGTGAGCCTTGACCCTGAAGGCTTTTGTCCAGCTCCCAGCACCGCGGAGCTCTGAAGAGGCGGAGAGCCCTTGATCTCCCGCCCTGTGCCCGTGCCCGTGCGGCATGTGCGGCTCAGCTCTGAGCGCCCGGCCAGCTGGGCTGCATTGACATTCTTCCCCCGTGCTCGGGTCACAGGGGTCTCCAAGGTGTTTTTATTCTTTATCCTGGCGTCTGAGCCTCAGAGGCCCCAGGTCCCTGACCCCTCGTCTTGCCTGCCACCCGAAGAGTCTCGCACTTTTTATCTGTAGCATTTAAAGTGCCACCAAGCGTCTGGCACTTTGCAAGCCTAAGATACAGGCTTTTCCGAATTTCCACACCAGCCCCCTTTCTGGAAGCC